TTAAAGTCTGCTTCCAGTCGGGCGAGTACAGCATCTTCTTTAAAATCTAACAACCCCACTGTGAGGGTGGGGAAAAACAGTTTAGATTTGCCAAGGTTCCCATGCCGGGCCAGACCCCTGTGACTGGATTGCCAGGTGCCAACTTAAAGATGTTCAGTGTCTGTTGCAAAGGGAGCTACATGCGTTGCTTATTTGGTTTGGGTCAGGGTAGGGATTGTGTTCTAGGACATGAGCGCGTAGAATCTCGCCAGATTTCACTCAAGCTTAAAGATCTGGAGAGATCAAATTTGTGCTGAAAAATCCTCGCCACGTTAAATCCTCGCTGACTTTCACTCAGGCTTAGAAATCTGTGAAAACTAATGCTAAGCCCTAACCCCCAGACCTTCGTGTATTCAGGTCTAGAGTTTGGTTTACTGGCTTTGCTTTTGGGATATTTGCATATTTCTCCTTACCGGTTTCATAAGGACCCCATATACTAATCGTGTTCAATTGGCTCCAAAGGCCAAGGAAGTTTAGGGTTACATCCTAAACCCTAGACCCCAAATCCTCAAAACCTAAATCCTAAAACCTAAATCCTAAACTCTAAACCCTAGAACCTAGATTCAAAGCCCTAAGTCCTAGACCCTCAACCGCCTTCGGGTTTTGGACTCGAGGTCTTGAACTTCAATTTTCGGATTTCGGATCGCTTGTGGTGCTAGATACCCCAGTAATAGCCTTTGTCCCCTTTCATTTTAGGTCTCCTAATTGAAGCTGAACATCAGGAAAAGAGTACCCTCCTTATTGCAGGACGGATGTGAAAGAGAAAGGGATATATGCAAAAGTCCAAACTCCATAAAAAGGGTTATATAGGTAATGATATGGGGAATTATTGGAGTTTTGACTGTAGCCCATGTAGGGGTATATGAGGATGTTTTGGGATGATGGGGTATATGGGGTTTAGGGCGCAGGTACCCATGGGTAGGTAGCAGTAGTAACCATGAATAGTACAGCTTTTGGGCAAGTATATGATTTTTGGGTACTTGGACCCTAAGGGTATCTCTTCCCTGCTAGCTGCGCCGCACTTCCTGGTGATTCGTCGAGAAGGAGCAAGGGACCCTTAAGGTAACCTGTTCTGTTCAATGGTGGCTGTATCCCAACTCACCTACGTTCCAAATTAACGAACCCAAGGGTCCAAGTACTGAATACTCATATACCTCCCCAAAGCTGCACCACAACTATTATTACCCCAAACCCCAAGTACCCAACTGTTGGGTACTTGGACCCTCAGGGCAAAAGGAAGCGAATAGACACATGAACGTATGGTTCCTGCCCCAAGGCTAGCCAGGCCCATGCTTTTGGTAGGCTTCCAAGCCTGCTACGCGGAGGCAGATCTGTCTGACCTGTATAGGTCATCTGCAGTTTAGATCTGTTCGCCGTAAGATCAAAATGTGGAGTAGTACGAGCTGTAAGCTAGTGGATGCAGACCTTTCTACCCCAGTAAAAAGGGGCAAGACCTGTCCCGTAAATCCGAAACCCCTTCTCGAAAGTCTTTGGCATGCCTGTCTCGTGAGTTCAGGCAGCGATAGTCCAGCACTTTCATGGCCGGATGAGGCGGACGTGCAGATTGGGTTTACCTGGACCATAGGGTTTTAGGGTTTAGAGGTTTAGGGTTCATACGATGGGCGTCCGTAGAGTGCAGGTAGGGTTCAGGTTTAGAGTGTAGGCTTGATTGCACGGTTTAAATTCCTTTTTTGTCTGGGGGATGGGTTGGGGGTTTACGGCGTAGTTTAAGGTGTAGGCTTCAGGGTTCAAGGTTTTGTCAGGGCTTATCCATGGCATTTCACGTACAGACCCGTGTGAGCTTACGACCTTACAGGCCTGAATTCGAGGGAAGAATTCAACGAAAGAACGTTCAAACTTAAAGTGCACGTGACCTCCATACTACTTCACCCTCAGGGCGCAATGTCCCTTAAGTAAGGGCATACTCAATGTGGTACCTGAAACATCCTGGAACCTGAGTATGAGTCAAGGTACGTTCCTCAACTACGGTGTGTTGGGCTCCCTGCGCAGAGATAGACTCGAATTATTCTTGTCATTGCTTGCCATCACTCTGATTGCCATTTCTTATTGTTATTCTTGCTATTGTTATTACCATTACTTCATGATGCGAGTTATTACCACTATTATGAGTCCTGTCATGACTACAGTGATTAGTATTGCTATTCCTCCCCTACTACCCCCACTACCCCCGCTTCTATGCTGCCTTTCCTAGGATCCTCTCTTATTTGAATCTATTGAAGGATAATCAAGGAAAGGGGGTGTTCACTTGCCTCCTTCCAGCCCCCACTAGGTAAGGAAAAAAGTCCAAGTTATTAGGGATAATGGAAAATAAAATGGAAACTACTAGGTCCACGGCTCATATTCCGC